AGCAGCTAATCAATCGGTTGGAATCGCTGGCTTCGGTGTTCAATCGACAACACCGATTAAAGCATCACCGGAACGAGTCTGGGAAGCCATGGTGGATAAAATGTACAACACAAGCAAGTATTTACCGGTAACCGATGTGAAAGTAACGGAGAAGGATCATGCAAAAGAAATCTATCGAGAAATGACTATTAATGGAACGGTTCTGCGGGAAAATATATATTTCGACAAATCACGTTTTCAAATTCGAGCCGATCTTCTCGACCACGACAAAGTACATTTTAATGTGTACAATCCTGATACAGGCTTGTTAGAATATTGGGAAGCGGATAAGAACGGCGAACGAGTCTCATGGAACGTCCCGAAACAAGTAATTTTGAACGCAATGCAGAAAACGAAAGAAGCTGCTGAAGCCGACAAATAAAGAACGACGGTGATTTTTATTTTTTCATTAGAAAGAATTGTTTATTTAAAAAGAAAAATAAAGTCTTTGGAAATTGTCTAAATGATTATAACGAATCATCTGCGGCGTTCTTTTTAGTTTTTCCTTTAGGATTCGCTTTATGTGGATGATCGTGTTCCGCTGATGATGCTGGAGAATTCACTCGAGGTAATTTCTGAGCGTGTTCAGGTTGTTTACGTGTCTTGGATTTCGCTCGTTGATCGGCTGATGATGAATCTTGTTTTTTATCATTCCGAATCAAATCAATAGCTTGTTCAGAAGTAATACGCTGTGTACTAATAGCCTTGCTATGATGGCCCGATTGTGTCGGACGAAGAATCAATAATTTACCACTTTCTGGTGCAGATTTACGCGTATTCGACGGTTTTCGTTGATCAGATGAAGACTTTTTCGAGTTAACCGGTTCAATTCTGAAACAAATCAAAGAATGAGAATAACTCCGTGAGAGAAACAAAGACTAGAACAACTTGTAGTCATCGCTGGATATATAGATCGAGTAGGCTTTTTTCGACGATTGCTTTTGTGGAGATAAGTGAGATTTCCGTGTTTGGCAATTTTTGTCTGTATCATTCGTTGGAACTAATTCCTCATGTTGATCACGTTCCATTCGTCGAAAGATATGTTCATACGTTTGTGTTGTACGAGAAATACGTTTCGGCCGGCGGCGTTTGGGTTTCGCTTGTTCCGTGTCCGAATGTGGATCTATTCGGAAAAAGGCAGTTGAATTTGTTTTTATTTTGTAGACATACCTGCTGATGGCTTTATCGATTTATTGACGAGATCCTGAATACTATGTGTCTTCTTTGGGTGGGTATCTTCATCGGTTGTTTTATGATGTTCATCTAAATACTGACGTTGATTGATGAATAATAAACATAGTGTTTCGTACCATTGGTTGTTTTTTTCTTTGACTTAGACGTGTGATGCTCGTCATCGGTTGTATCGTCATCAGTCGAATGCGTAGGTTTAGGTTTAGTTTTAGGTTTAGGTTTTTCTTTTTGAGATGCTTTGGAATTGTTCAAACGTTCTTTTTTAGATTCTCGCGACGACGAACGCTTGAAAGAAGAAATAATTGGACGACGAAAGAGAAAAACATTGCCTGTACTTTTTCACCATCGCGTGGAGAATGTTTTCCTTGAGTTTTTTTCGATGTCGAACGGGGAAGGTCCTCCGAATCCGTTGACGAATGACGAGCGTCCTTATGAGTATTTGCTGTAGCGGTTGTATCGTGTTTTGTCTGAGAACTAAACGAAAGGAAACGATCAAAGAGCTTTATATTGTTTGTTTCATACACACCTATCGTGTTTCATTTCTGGTTTAGGTGACCTGTTAAGAGAAAAAGGGCGTTTTGTGATTTCAAGCAAAAGTTTATAACGAACTTCGATGATTTTCGATGATGCTCATCGGATGAATCACGTTGGGACCCTTTTTTCTTCTTCTTTTCATCATCGCTTGATGAACTTGGTGACGCTTTTCGTGGTTTGGAGACTTCATGTTGTTTTGATACCTGCGGACTCGTCGAGCGTGATGGTCGATCTGCTTGCTTCTCAGCCACCGGTGATCGTATTCGTTCGGCATCGGCTTTCGTTGGTGCTTTATCAGACTGATCAGGTGATCCTGATTGTAAATTATGAATTAAACTGCTCATTTTCTTTTGAATTGCATCATTATCAAAATCACCTGATTCTTTCTCATGTTTCTTATTTGAATGTTCATCGTTCGGGTGTGCAATCAATGGATTCGTTTTTATCATACTAGCGAGATCATGTCCTGTACTTTCTTTGCCACTCATAACTTGACTCTAGTGAACTAGATTAAAACAAAGTCTAGAAAGGGAAAGAAACTTATGACAGAAGTAATCTGTTAACCATGCAACAGCTCGTTATAATTAAATGAACTTGATTCATCTTACCTCGTCACGCAAATCTAACAGTTTTCGCTTGAAATTTTTTCGAACTGTCTGTCGCTATGAGTATTATGCAAAGGAAATTTGACAATATAAACAATCGGCATCCGTTGCCGTTTACATCTTAAGTAAGTAACGCAGAGAAAAAGATCCGTTTTCAGATTCTCTAGTGCACGACAAGTGAAAGGCAATCTGTAACATCACGATGAAAAACAAGTGAAGAAAAAAGTGCGCGCCCGTCATTTTGCTTTTGCAAAGAAAACATCGGCAATGTGAAAGTAAACTATGTCGTTTTTTCTTTCTCTTTCTTGAATAAAAATTAAATTCAAATCTCGTTTTTATTCTTCTTCATCTGTCATCATCGATGTTTGATTTTTATTTTCTGTTGTAACAACGTATAAAACAACTTTGGCAGTTTATTCTAAATAGAATTTGAATTTCGAATCGAACACATGAATGTGAATGATGAGACCACGTTTTTCATGTGGATGTCGTTGACAGATCAGTTTACCTTGAATATCTTCACCTAGAAAGCAGAAGTCTGAAAGAAAATTCGATGAATGTCGGACTTACCTTCTTGGACGCTGTATAGACGTGGAAGAAAGAATATAGTTTGTTTCCAATGAGTGCTCGGAGATCGAGGCGAAGTCGAAAAATGAACCTTGACGAGGCTTCGCTACAGAAGTGATTGAGATCGTGAAAGAAAATTTACCTTTTCGATAAGATTCTTGGAAAAATTCACATCGAAATGACACACAAAACCTGATATGGAACCGGATTTCAGTACTTGAAGTGTAAATGGATGTGTGAAACTGATATCATCATTTGAACATGTATAAACATCCAAATTCTAAATTGAAAAGGTTTCTTTCATCACAAATCTGTCACTGATGAACACGTTCATCTACTTTGATACAGCAATCACTGGTGACTATGTCTTCCGCTGGAACGATCATGACATGTCCATCGGCAAGGATATTTTTCGTGATCGTATTCATTTCGAAACCGTAAACATTCGACCAGTAATCAACATGTTCGTGATAGAGACGATCGGAATGAAATGCGGACATATTTATCGAAAAGTCATCGGGTAAAACTAAAACAAATCAATAGAAAATCAATTCGAGATTGTTTAGAATACGAATGGCATACCTAAGCCATTTTCTTTGTCTAAATATTGATTTCGAGCAAAGATAATCGATTCCAACATACATTCAAACAGAAGAAAATAACCTAAAAATTTCGTCACTTATTCGCGTAAATCTTGTTTTGCATTTGTGTCTTACCCATCCACTCAGAAATGATGATATCAACCTTTGAGAAAGGAAGTAACATAGATATTTATACGTTCAATTCATCAATTACTTTCTCAACGGGTAAAGTCACATCTTCAATTCTGCCATGAATGAAAACAAGTTTCGATTCATCCATATTATTCTCTCTAAAACCAAATTCTTTCTTTCTCTCATTCTTGTTCAAACACATAGTTCTACTTTGCAATAGCCATAGCATCATAAATCATATCTGACATATCGACGGCAATGACCATTTTCGCTTGTCCATATTTAAGACATGCCATCGAGAGTATTCCTGTTCCACATCCAACATCCAAGACAACTTTATTTCGAAACACATCAACATTCGATTTGATACATTCTAGATAACTCTCCGTACGGACGGTGTCCTAAGACAGATAGAACGTTCATAGACATGTATCTATGCAAATCTTTACTTACCATACCTGAAGCATTTCTTTGTGAATATCGTAATGATTATATGTGGCAAAATAGCCTTCATCTTGCACGTCGTCTTGATTTTTCGTTTTAACACTTGTTGTCACTTTAGAAGGTTGATCATCCAAGAATCGAGATGTCATCGATCTAAGAGAGAAACCATGAACTATAAAACAATGTGTTTTTTCTAATTACTTCAATGTTTCGACCATATCTTCCAACTGTCGGATTCTTTCATTTGCTTGTTTCAATTCATCATGATCATGTCCATTAGTAGTTGTTATACTTAAATCACCGAGTTGATTCAAATCTTCTTCAATATCTAAAAGCACAGGCAATGATAGTATGTCCATTTCGTTTTTCTTACCAAACTGTAATGCTGGATCGTCGTCAATCACTGTTTCGAAGTATTTCTCATCCGTCCATGGTGGTGATGGCGATGATTTCAATTGTTTCAAAGTCTCAATTGAAGGTTTCTAAAAACAAAATGTGATTCTCCATGGAACTGAAGTTACCACACGTACTTCCGAACGAATATAATTAATCAATCGAATGTAATCGTATTGCGAATGAATCTGATGCTTTTTAAGAAAATCTATCAGATCAAACTGCGAATGATATGCTCGGAACATATCCACAACATTGGGGAAAACATCTGATGAAAACAATCCTTGTACTTGTTCGAGTACATTGATTTGTTCTTCATCTTGTTCATCATCAAGGAAATTCTCTTCATCATCGGATGACACAGATTCATTTCGTTGATGTTCAGTTTTATTTATTGAAGACATTGTATCTGAAAAAACCGAAAAAAAAATATATCTATCACGTATATGTTAATACTGTTCACAAGGCATATAAAACATAGAGGGGATGGATAGCAAAACACATTTCGTTCAGTCTAATTTTCATCAGATACGGATGCTGATGGTTGTTTACGTAATGTGAGCATTATTTGACGTCGTGCTGCACGATCAAGTTTGTGAATGCCGGTTAAGTGTTGGCCCATATGACGTGTGGATATGGGAGATTTCCAACAGATCGATTTCGGATGTCGAAGTGGACATTGAACGTAAAAGGTATCATTGAGTAATTCTTCGTCGGGACGAAAGACTTGTTCGACTTTGTTTTTTACAATTGCTTCAGCTAAACGTTGAGCACAGGAACGTTTCATTTGATGATAAACAACTGAAAGAAAAGAGAATCAACAGATGACGAAAGACTATCGTTGAAAACAAACCAAAATGATCATATAAACACACGTCTTTCGGCGGTACGGATGGCGCACCGACGGTTTGATTTGGCTGAGTACATAGACGAATCTTGTGTTCTGCAGTTATACCAAACTTGCCGTATTCATTCAATGGACATTTAGCACGATATACTGTTGGATGCGTGGCAATTAAACTGTTCGCTTTCGATGAAAATAAATCAATGTCACCTTCTTCGTTGTCATCCGCAAGTAAACGAACGATTTGCATAGCTGGTGAATGAGTTAATTGATGGTATTGAATTAAATGTTTATCTAATCAAGTGAACAGATCATGATAAAGAAAAGAAAGAAAAAGCAAGACATGCTTACAGAGATTGATTGGTGCTGTGACGCGTGTACAAGGAAAATGGCGTATACCATGTTTTTGTGAATCAAGACCATAAGTACGTGTTGTCAATGGACAACATCCTTCGTATTTATAACGTTTTAGTTGAAGAATCTAAAGAGTATAGTCACACAGATGGCAATGAAGCTCGTCTTCTTTTACAGTCGATTTTTTCGTTGAATGTTTCTGATTTCGACTGAGTTTCGAGTAGGAGTGGTCATCACTAGTAGAAAATAACATTTGGATTATTTATTAGCCAACTTTGTTTCTTACTAGTCGGTGTACGAACTCTTCTCATTACTTTGATCGAATGTTGCTTTTTCTTGAACGTTACATACATCGATTTCGTCAGAATCATCAAAGGACGTACCATCTGAATGACTAGAAGTACCTTTTCGAGAGATATTTCTGTATTCTTACCAGGAAAATACGTCGAATAAGATTCATCATCGACCGGCCTAGTTGGTTCATCTGAAGTAGAATTCGTATGACTAGAGTGCAACTTTGTAGGATACGATTTACTGGTAATCGCATTGGTGGTGTTTCGACTTTGGTATTCATTTAGTAGTTGATCGATTTGATTGAGAAATGTTGATAAATGGGAAGATGGTTGTCGACGATCGATTTCTGTATCGTAGAATTGAATTAGTCGAGATTTTTGGTCGCGAAGTCGTTGAAGAAGTTCATGAGAATGATTGTTATCAAAGAAATTCGAAGCTTTTGGTGTAATCAAAGGTGTTGGAAGAGTATCTGGTTTATATGTTAAGAGTGGATTGATGCATAGAACTAATTGCGAATTGGCATTGATTGGATTCTGTAAAGTCGGCGAATGACAAGAAGACAATGCATTGAGAATACTCATCTCATCGGTCGCGACTATCGAATGAACGAGTTTCTTTTTAAAAAAGAGCGAAAACTTTAAGGATAGGAATAACCAACAGCTGATCGAATGTGAAGGAGGTTAAGAGTATAAGTAAAAGCATTAACCAATCCTAATCGTGACTAGTAATTCTGTACAAGAGAGACATCTGTAAAACGTATGAGATACATCGTGATCAGACGAAACAAACTAGTCTACTTTGGTAAATGTATCTCTCATATGAGAAATAACAACAATTGGTGTGAAGTAAGTGTCTCGAATAGTGATATTTTTATGGGCAAGAATCCATTTTGATTACAAGGTTTTGTGTTGTTCCATTAGTTTTAATCAAAACCAAGATGCACCGCAGTGAACAATTGACAATGAGAGTGGCCGTTTGTAATAAGAATCAGAGAATTAAATCAAATGCTATGTAGATATAGAATAACATGAAGATCAAATTGATCGGCGTCTGTATGTATTTGTATAGAAAAAGAAGAAAAAACACAGCATTGGCAAATGATTCTACATAAATTATATCTAACTTCTTCTTATGGAATGTTTTCTATTCTTCTAAAAAATAATTTAATTATTACTCCAAATTAGTCTGAAAAGAAGACGAAAACTACAAACTATATGTCAGATCATTGTTCAGTTTCATCGTATAGCTCCAACCAAAATCACAGCTATTGTCTTTAGATCTTTTCTTCAAATTGAACGACTTTCATCGCAATGATAGTTTTCTGACTGTTCGTTCTCCCTTAAAATCTTCGAGACAAGGGGCAACAACCGATCATTGCATCCACGAATAGATGCATGACTAATGCCGATAACACATTGCAGAAACGTAGGAAGCAAAAGGAATTTTACTGTAACATTTTCTTCGCTTGTGCATTGATAACAAATTACAACAAAACATGATACTGGAGGTGAAGTCAGATAGAAATCTATCTGAGTAATGCAAAGGCAAACAATGAAAATTACAATGAAGACGCTGGAACACCAACATATGGAAAATCCATTCTGTTTCAGTGGAGAACTTATTATGTTGTCTGGTGTCTTCCTGAAAAACAAAAGAATACAAACTATTATCTCCAGAATACACATTGCTTTGTAAAAGAAATGAAATTAGCAAATAAGTTTAACAAGAAAAATTATGGTGATCTTACCGATACACAACAGCCATCGATTGAATCAAAAGGATAGCAAGTCCAAGAGCAATCTGTATAGGCAAAGAACCATATTTGTCTCCATAAAGACAATTGTGGAAGTTGATCGATCCAAATACGACACCAATCATAAACAAGATGATTGAAAGAAACAACCAGAAGTGATCAATCGTAAAAAACTTCTTTAATACGCGAAATTTTGATTCGGGACATTGATTAACTTTACCAATTGTAATGATCGAAAACCATGAAGAATTCTGTTTTTCCCTGTCGATTATTTGCTCCATATCGTTTCTATCCTCAGCAGAAACAACTTGCTTGTCAAGTACGACTGTCTCCGGTACTATATCGATCGACAGTTTTAATAAAATATTTTTGTCCTCACGGTTGAATGTTTTCTTCCTGACTTTACGTTTCAATAATGACTATGACGTCTAGTTTCGAATCACGACATGGGCGTACTATTTCGGAAGAGAAAAAACATCATGCGCTTCATATATTTGCAACGTAAAAGGTTTCAACAAGAAATGATTTGATAGATAATGATGATAATAATAATCATTTTGGGCATTGAGACACAATATACGAACGAGATTTATTTATGTACACAACTACAGACAATGTTTTTTCGTGATGGCATCACATCAATGTAAATGATTGTCATATAGTATACTATTTACACAAAGACACATAATAAAACGTTACGATTTGAAGATCTTCTGCAAGAATTAGCAAAAAGAAAATGAGTTAATGGTTATGTGATCTAACGATTTACTTTTGAAATAAAGTGTCACTCAATGTGTCTCACGCCATAATCAATGAAGTTTGATAGAACTAAAAAGACAATTTTACACAACGTTGATTTCAATTGAGTACAACCGGTAAAACTGCAACAATATGGTGCTGTGACTTTTTTTTTGGTATTAAAAAGCTTTGAAATTGTTCGGTAAATTGAAACAAAACAATCATAACTGCAGCCATAGATACATCAGCGAATACAAAAGCAATTCGAAAATGATATTTGAATGGTGTTGTAAAAAATGACATTAGAATAAAACTAAGATATGGAATACCAAGAAGTAATAGAATGAAAATTATTGTTATAATACGTGTTACCATTTTTAATTGACGTCGTGCACGAATAATAACATTAATCGATGTTGTACGCGTATTTATTGACTTAACATAACGAACTAATTTATAATAAATAAATATCGTTATTTCAATTGGAATTAAATAAATACAATTGGCGATATAAATTATCGAAAAGGATAATCGAAGTGGAATTTGACATATTTGATTATTCATGTTATAGACTAATTCATTTCGTGCAATGAATTCAATCGGAATGACAAAAGCATAAATCCATGTTAATATCATAAGAAATAATTGAAATCTTACAGATTGATAAAATAAGCGTTTCGGATAAACAACAATCATATATCGATATAAAGATTGTAAAGTAAATGAAAAATGAAATGTTCCACATAGACCATAACCAAAAAAAGGTCGAACAATACAAAATATATCATAAGTTTCAATTCGTTGAAGATCATTTTGTAATGTAAATATCGCTATACTAAGCATACTTGATCCCCAAGCAATTGCGCTCAATGATGTATTTGCAATTAGTATCATTGGGATTGTACGATTTGTTTTGTTAAATATTATAAGAAGAAGAAATATGATACCTAATAGAACAGTTATACTCGTGCCAATTATGGAAATAATATCAATTGGAATAAACCAAAGTTCGATATTGACCATCGTTCAAGGAAAAAAAACAACTTTTTATTTCTGTGTAAGACGCCTATTGAATGCTTGAAACGACCTTTTTTTTCTCTTGATAAAAATATAACATTAAGGGCTGGTTGTTGTTAACGCGATGTAGCAGAAAATTTAGTTAGAGAAAATATTATTATGAATAAAATATGTTTTTGTTCGACGATATGTTGAATTTCCAATGGTGATGTTACGGTTGGATAGAATGTCTGGTAATTTTATGCAAGTCGCGATCGAACAAAACGAAAATCTGCTTAGCTTTCTATGATGATTTCTTCATTTACTTGGAAAACAAAAAGCGACGTTTCATTCTGTACAAATGTTGTGAATCTTTGCACTGAACCCACGTAATAATCGGTCGGTGCTTGTAACGAAATAGAGAGGAGAAATGTCTGTGAGAGAATCATACACATATTTAACTTCTTCAGGTTAACAAGCTTCTGCTTCATTTACAAAATGCACCCTCTTACAGACAACAGGAAACAATGAATATCGCTGAAGTATTGCGATCATGATATGCCCCGTTACACTCTTAGCTTTGTTTTAGATTTGTAATACATTTCAGATAACATAACCTTGCTCATTATGTGTTCGCCCTGTCCTGATCTCGTCAATGGTATTTAAGTTGTTGAACATTGATTACACAAACAAAATTTACAAGAAGTATGTAACTGGTCCAATGAACACGTTCTGTTCGATTGATCATTTAATTATCGATGAGAACAAAGTTGGGCACGTTTTCATCCTGGTGTTCAAGGATGAAACCAACATACGAAAAATCGCTCATCACGCTGTACTTGTGGATGTGGCTAGCAATCAAGGTTATTTTATTGCATTTAACTTCGCAACTAGTTAGTCACAAAAGTAAATTTCAATTCGATGACAAACCGAAACAATGCAGTGAAGTTTTTGAAATTGTATATGTTGGCAAAACAATATCAAGCGACACTGAATATCAGAAAATGAAGCGAATGGAGTGTGCCATTGGTTATGCTTGTAAGTAAATGAATTGCAAAGATAATAAATGCTTAACGTAATGATCCCTTCGATCTACTCAGCTCACATAATCAGTCTTTTCTATTGGCGAACAAAATATACATACTCTCTCGAGGACGCGAATGCTTGAAGGAACATCGAAAACAAGTTATCGATGAATAAGTCGAACAAATAAACTGAATATCAATATTCGATTACACAACAGATAATGCAAAGCGTTCTAAAGAGAAGAACATTAAGCCTTGTTTGTCATCAATCTATATGATTAGAATTTGATAATTCCACAGAGAATTGTCACATCTCAGTCACAAATTACTTCCGTCATTTATGATCAAAATAACTGACATCAAGGAACATTTCTTCGAACAAAGTCTTTCTCAATTCAGTATTTCAATGGTACAAACGCGTGTTCTAAAAATAATTGCATCTGGTTTCACTCTATTATTTACCATCTATAGTTTAAAACATTTTCCACCAACGACAAACTGTTGTGTGAAAATCTCGACTCCCGAACCAATTGAAGAAGCATTTGTTACATTTTGCGATAGTAACCCTGATTATCTTGCTTTATTAGAAACTGTTCTTGATTCTGTTCATCACTTTTCAACTCGTCCAATTATCGTCTATGGAATCGATGTTGATTTAAAGCTTAACTTTCAAAAATATCCACGTTCAATTCAACGACGTTTAAAACAAAGCGATTGCGGCCAATCGATTTATTTTTGTAAACTAGCTGCAATCGTGCATAGTAACGTCAGATATGGAATCTATATCGAAACTGATACGTTAGTTAATTGGAATGTCGATGTACTTTTTGATGTTCTACATCAATGGTCATACGCGTTGCCAATAGCCCCTCGTCATCCAAATGATCCGCGAAACTACAAACGATTCTTGAAACAATTTGATTTGGATTTTTCTAATCGCACAACACCGTACATACACGCACATTTACTATGGACTTTTCGTTCGTATGGATTTCTGCGAGAAGCGCTCGCTTACATGCAGAAAGGATATTTTCTTGGTGCTAACTACGATGAAACAGGCATCAATGTTCTCCTATGGAAAGCAAAAGCTAATCATACTCTGTGTAAAATAGACCCTTTCTTTACTTTTCTCTCGGTCTATGAAGCACGTCAACGTCACTGTACAGAATTCTGTCACACAGCATTTATTCTCGTGCATGGAAGTAAAAACTCGACTGAAATGCGTGATTTATTCGATCGGTTAAAAAGACATGCTGGATTCCCGTTCATTCAAACAGTGAACAATGGATTTCATTATTTAAATCAATCCGAACATTCATGTTGCTACCCGGATAGTCGACCATCATCAATTCATCCGTTACTTTGTGAACATTCCGGATAAAGTGATCATTGAACCGTTTCTCATGATATTTTTTATTAAATCCTTGTTAAACAACACACACATGAACACGCACGCTTACAACAATAGTTTTTTTGTTTCGAAATTCAAATTGTTTTATTTCCTTAACATCTTGATAAATTCATCTTCGTCACTATCTGACTTATTTGTCGATGGTGGATTTCTCGTCGCTGCTGACGGCGCTCGTTCAGTTGTGAATAATTGGGAAAATGGACTTTTGCTGGGTTGTGTACTAATTCTTGGGGATATTGGACGACTACTTTCAATGCCATCCGTTCCGCTAGTGGTTATACGTTCGATTTCACTATTTGATTCATCGTCGTCACTCAACATCAATGAATCTTTCATCATTGAGGGTGAAGGTGTAATTTCCGTCACAGTAGTAGTTTTGGGTGCTGGTTGTTCAATAGCTAAGCGTCGATAGGGTACAGGCGGTGGTTTCGTCATTGGGCGGGATTGTTCTCGATCTTCTGATGTTAATAATGGCGGACCGAATGGATCGGCAGCATGAGGAAATGATGCTAGTGTTGAATTAACACGAATATCTGTGGCTTGATCGCCATATTTGTTGCGGGTACGCGCCCACTCAGCTTTTATATCGACTTCACGTTGGCGTTCCGATGAAGCGATATAAGTTCGTGTTGTAGAGACACAAACTAATTGATCACGAGTCAATTGGTCAAAGCGTTCAATCTAAACGATCATAAAAATATTGCACAAAACTCTCCTCGAATGCGAATTACTTACGATGCGCCCATTTTCATCGAATAAAGCTTGAACTGGCTGCATTAAACCCAACTTTTGTTTGGCATTTTCCATAATCTCTTGAAGGTTACTACCAAAGCATTGAACCGCTGATTCAGTCGAGTCACCATTCGAATAAATCGTAATGCGTTTCTAAACAAATATCAACATTCAAAACATCCTCCTAGTCTCGTTATTTTTTTTCAAAATACCAGTTTTGAATGTTGAGAAAGTCGTTCCAGTGCAGCGGATGAAGCAGGTCGTGTATGTTCAGGTTGTTGCGACGAGATAATTGCATCTAATGATGTCTTAAATTGAATCGAACAATTAATTAGAAGATTTTCTGAGAGGAGGCGAATGTTACTTGTATTTTCTCAACATTATCTTCTTGATCGAGTTCAGTATCGGAACGTTGTGTCCAATGTCCTTGTTTCACAACAGGTATATCAGGATTTTGTTGACTAACTAATTCACCTGTCGACTGGCTCGAAATGCGTCGTCCTAAAGGTAAAACTCTATACAAATCATTATTGCACAAGTTGATATTCAACCTTTCATAAGACGTAAGGCATGCTTTTCCCGTTCCAATTCATGAACAACAGGTGTGCGTTCTTCGCGTTGAACAATACGAACATTATGACGTTGGTCAACATCTATAATCAACTAGTTTACGTACAGAAGAAGAAGAAGAAGAAGACGTGGCGAAACAAACCAGATGGATTGACGAATCCTTCGCCAGATGAAACCCAAACTTCAATAGGAAATTTGAGCAGATAATTCATATCGATGTCAAGTCCTCGTTTCACTGAATTTTGTTTTATTGCTCGTTTTAAATCCGAAGATTTTGGTAAACCTTGAAAATGTTGCTTAGTTGGACTTATATCCCGCATCTTAGCAGAAAATGTTGTTTTTTCCGATTGACTATCAGTACTCGAACGTCGTTGTGCTTCGGGATCTAGAAACAAATCAACATCAATAACCATGTAATGATATAAGAGCTTGCCAATTGGAGACCGTCACAAAGCAATATATCCTGCTGTCCTATATTCTCTTTAGAAAAATGTTCTCAATTCATTTCTATGTAACTAATTGAACCTGAAACGAAGCTTTTTCCGAAAGCTAAGCAGGGCAGTAAAGAGGATGCTCCATGACGATCTCCACTGTAAATTACTTTGGGGCGGCAAAGGTGTATTCAGTTCTACTTTATCGAGAAGTTGAGTTTCTACGAAAGAATATATTATATGAACGATAGCGTCGAAAGACTTACGTGGTTGTTTCGATAATTTCGTATAGCACTTTTTGTAATATTCGGTAACCCAATCAATGAGATCCTCAATACTGAGAATAACTGTACCATCGCTGACGTAAAAACGTCGAGCAGCATTTGTTAAATCCAATCGATGTGTTGCTTGATCGAGCAACTAAATGGAAAGCATCACGTATGATTGATAATCTTGAACTGACAGGAATGAGAATACTTACACCGATAATGCTTGAACCAACTAAGATTTTGCCTTGTCGCGTATGACCATCTCCATTTCGATAAGCAAGTAAATGAACAACTTGAACTTGTTTGGCAGCTGCTAGTTCTTTTGCAATATTTCGAACGCTTGCTTCTTGTCGAAGTCTTCAAAAAAGAGTACGAACAGTTGTTTTTTTCATAATTAGCAAAGGAAATATCATCATACTGTTCAAGTTGTTCTTGCCGTTGAAAGAGTGTGTTCTCAGCTTCATCGCGTGTTAAGTCGACTTTATGGTTGAGACAATGAAATGGACCATGAAATTTCAAATCAGTTCCTAAACAAAAAACAAAGGCAAACTTCGCGTTATTTGAGCAATGACAAATGAAAATTTTACTTTTTCCGATAGCACATGTGAATTTCTTCTCGGGTTCTATCTTAACTAACCGATACTTTCCGCGCATTGCTTGCGCACAAGCAAGACAAACAGGTACGTCTTCAGATTGATCATTGGTATTCAGAATTGAAACATTAAATCCCTATGCAGATGTCAAATCAATATTTTCGCAACCCTTTCGAAAACAGCAACATTTACCGGTTGAGACAATGATTCATAGTTCACTGTATATGAGCAAATATTCGCTCGATTAGCTGCGGTGATTTCTGGAACGAAGTATTCGCTAGACTTTTGTAAAGATATGAAGCGTAACTCTCACCTCGGTCAGTAATTGTAGCATTGAACGGATAGAGAAATCCAAGTTTTTCGTCATACGCCCATTTTTGATTAGCACAGCCATTCTCTTCATATCGCCGTGGTTGTAACGTAACTAGGCAACCAATACAAGAAATGGTGACTTCACTTGATTCATTTAAAGTGCATGATGGAAGTAATACAGTTAGAATCATCGTTGGTCGGGCTTTTGAAGCGATCAAACTAATCAAAACATCAAATTATTCGCATATACGCGAAGTAATTAACACTCACAATGATTTAGTAAAATCGATATCCGATGAATTTTCATCGCCATCATTGGATGAGACAAGAACCCATCGTTGGAATATATCATCAGGATTTCGGCGTTTTAATATGACATCAACCACTTTACTCTCGATTTCTTTGACACCAAATACCAGATTGGGGTCATCCATACTTGAGATATAACCACCCGATGGATCCCAACGAAATTGTTGCATAGAAAGTAAAGCTGTTTTCGGTAAAGTTGACATGGGCTTAGTTGACAAATCTCCTGGATTGATAACATCATCGTCATCACTATCGCGATTAGTTTTATCTTCGTTGTCTCCGCCGAGATCCAGACTCTTATTAGCAATGCGTTCCCATGGCCAACGAAATTTGTCCTCATTTCTTTGATCAAGTCGTTTATGAGTACGTTCATGCGCTGTCCTATAGAACAAACGAAATCATTTAATAACTACTCATCACTAGATTCAAAACATATTAATCGTATCACAAAAACAAACAAAACACGCATAATGACAAGATTACATAAGTAGATACATACTCATCACTAGAATCGGAGAAAGAGAAGGAGAGAAATCGAGGAATAACGGTAGAGTAAGAGGAAATACTATCCTACCTTGGCTCGGCTTCGGTTGCTGGTGGTCCAACAGGTTCTTTACTTTCCATCACATGTTGAACTGATTCACCTTGTACAATACGTTTGCGTTGTCCAACAGTCAAGACACATTTACTCAGAACTAATCGTGAATTCTCACCCAAAACCGTTTCCGTGGAAACGACATATTCTACCAATGTAAAAGTTTTCTTCAAGAATAAATCGTACAAAAGATTTTTACCTGCCGGATATCTCAATGCACAGTAGAAATATATCATTCGGACATCATAGCTCAAGTAGGCCAATAACAAACGACGTTGCTGTTCAGCTTTGGTTAACTCAGGATCGATCCACTGTTCGCCACATGTTACATAGACCAAGGAATCGCGTCTGATAGATGTTAAATCAAATAATTCGGTACCATGTTCATCAAATAAGCGACGAGCAGCGAATGGAAGGCCACAGAGGGTTGTGCAGTTTTCTAAAAACTACAAAACACAAATGACTTTTGCTTTTCTCCAGTAAGAAACTTTTTTTTAAAACGAACTAATTTCATTTCACGCTGACGAGCATCAGCCATGCGTTTGATTTGTCGATGTGCACGTTGTTCTTTCTCAGGTTCAGGAATACGTAAACGTCGATACATATCAGCAGAAGATTTCGGTTCCAGAATGAGCTACAAAAGACATACGAAACTAAGGAATCAAGAAGTAAAAGAGTTATTACTCACATTAGAAATATCAGGTCCAACGACGAATGCTGCCTTGCTAGTGTCACGTTCCCCGTTTTTCAAAACTTGTAAACGAATTGGAACAACTACGATAAAAGCAGTAGATACATTTCGAAACGACCAGACTATACGTACAAGTTTCTGGTGCTTGAGAATATTTAAGTGATTTTATTGGCGGAACACCTGGTATAAAACAACCTTCAATTGGCCATTGTAAATCCTAGAAAAATACTCTCGGCTATTCAAATCGTTCAGGTATGTATATATATTTACAGGTATCATCGACCCATTAGCATCAACTGGCCATGTCAAAGCCATCTTATGCCAAATAGGGTTTTCTACTTTCGAATGTTTCCAATCGCCAATCGTAAAACCTGACGTTTGTCGAATACCCCAACTATTTTCGGCGAAAAAAAAACCAGATTTGTCAATCGTTTGTCAACTAACTAGTCTTACCGTTGTCGATGCATGAATGGCGAATCTGGTGAACATTTTGGACAAAGTGCAACAAATGAAACAAAGGCGTCGTTTTCATTCATTCGTTTTCCACCTGCTACAAATGTCTCGTCCTCGCCGGGAATGATCGTTGCAAAACTTGTCAGTGCAGAATCTGGATATGCTCTAGATACGATATAACCATCAGCAGTAAAGTCCCAAATTTGCTTTTCCGATGTTTCGCTTGCTCGGTTTCGCAATTGAACTCGGTAACCGTTGAGCTCTTGTGATCGATTTTGAGCTTTCGATAATTTACTTGCTGTCCATGTCATCTGAACGTTTTCCTCGGGTATAATTGTCAACACCAAAGTGTTGATCTGCTTGTTATAGATATAGCCATCCTAAAATCAATCGGAGAATGTGAACTAAAGTTGTTGGAAAGAACATTGAACATACTTTGTCGTAATACCAAGTTTGTAAATCAGTATCGGAGAAAACTTTTTTTGATGGTTTTCCACCTGATGATTTTTGCTTTCCGATCGACGCGATGATTTGACTGATTTTCAATTCAGGATAGATCAATTTCTTGTCCTTAGTAAGAAACGTAACATGTTGATCAACACGTTCATCGATCGGTTTGCCTTCGACAGCTTGTTTTTCGTCGTCTTGAAGATCTTTGGTATTGATGGTTTTAACATTCTCGGGAATCGTGTCAGTCACTTGCCAAGCTGCTGCAACTTGCCTACAAAAAAGTGAAAATGAATATCCAATCGATGCGTTTCGTAACATTTTCTTACTTAGCCGATCGCTTTTCATTCTCCGCCATCACGTCATCGTCTGTTCGAAATATTTTCAATAATGTCAGCCCAGCTTCTTGGTTATAAACTTCAACGCTATGCAATTGAATCGCAAGACATGGTTCTAAAATGGAGAAATACGTTTTTATCAACAATCATCATTTTCCGTCAAAGAAAATTCGTACCGAACGCCGGTCGATAGTCTTCTCCATAGGATATGAATATGTGCTGCTTGGATTTTAAGTGTCCGAGAAGTTTTAATTCAGTTCCATTGATATCGAAGACACGTTTTGGTCGCTGTCGTCCGAATACGGCGACAGAGGTTTGTAAATAAGTGAGTAAATACTCGATTGGCGTCTGTGGGATAGTTTTCGATGGCAAACTACGAAGATTTAAGAAGATTGTTGGATCCGATTTATGATATGATCCATTTTCATGCACCTAGAATAGTTTTGGGATGAAAGACGTGCAAGGAGAAATAGGTCACATACAAATAAGCAAATTGGATGCAATCCGACAATTTTATCTTCGAATTTTACTTCTTTGATGTGTTCTGTGGCAAAATTTGCTCCCAAACTCTGAAATATCGAAAAAACACTACTTTTTATCAAGTCAAAGGTTGATATGTTACTTCTTCCTCCGTTTTCATATCCTCAATTTCTTCCATCTTAGTTTGATAGAACTTCATTAATTCTTTGACATCCTTAATTTTAGCTTCTGATGCCTAAAACAAACAAACCGCCATTCCTATACGTATGATTGCCAGTACGTACCTCTTTCAGCTCTTTAAGCTCTTTCTTTGTCATTGATAACAGACTTTTATTTTTAACAGCTGTTTTGTCATTGTCTTTTTCATCTTCTCCATCGGTTCCTTCTGTTGTTGACATACGTAGTTCATCACCTGTGTCACTTTGTTCGTTTCCATTCATTGTTCTTCGTTGACGTTTTTTAATCACAGCCTTAATTTCGCGATATTCTGCTCTGTAAGTTTTCAATTGACTTTGACATTCCTTGTAACGCGATTGCAAAAACACATAAGCACCTGTTGGACGAAATTTCTCGCCTTTGCTAACCCAAACTGGCCCGTAAATGATGCCATCGTTTACAGTTTGCATTTTACAATCGTCCGATTCCAAGACTGAAAACATAATCCGATTTACAATGACATCAAAGGTATTCGAATAGGTATTTACAAAGTTTGAGCGATCGAATAGTATCACCCCGATAAGTGAATGCCTTTCGTGCATGTCCAGTCATTTGCAATCGTTGCGTCGAATAATCAAGAAACTAAAATAGGTAAGAGTGAGTTCATGTTAGAGAGAGAATTCTTAACGGAACCTTTTCTAGATTATCTCTAACGAGTGAATCAATTAAAATATGATAGGCATTTGTATCATGGCCCAGGCCATTCTCAAAAATCATCAAATTTATACTTGTTTTGATTTGTTTTCTAAAATTACCAGCAAACAGTGTCTATGTATCGACCAATCAATGTAAAACATACTCTAAACGTTTCGATATAGCTGCTGTTGTTGTGAATGATTTTGGTTTCGTCGTGTCCGTTTGTAAACCTCTCATCGTCCATGTTGAATTTAGGCTGTATTCCGTTTGGACTAAATATAAATGCATATTTTGCTTATCGAGCGAGCAATGTACGGTGTCTTACTCTTAATTGATCGATAGGGATCTTTGAAGTTTTCTCCGCTGGAAACAAAATACTCTTGGTTTGAATGGACATCTTCACTACGATATATTTCCTGTCCGTTGGCATCAAATAAACGGCGAGCAGCCGACGCCATATGAAGTTTTTCAGTCGCATATTGGAAAATCTAAGTTTTCACCGATGAGATACGATCCACTGTCTGTTATGAAACTTACGGCATTCAAAGACGTGGCTTTACAATAACAATGCTTTTCGTGATTGCCATTGCGATAGATTGTAATGAGGAATGATTGAGATTTCGAACTTGAGCGTTGTGTTGATGTTTTAGTACGTTTCTTCGGTGTAGTGGATGTATTACTAAAAATAGAGGAAGATTTTGGCAATGAAGAAAGATTTCTCTTCTATTGTGGAAACGTACGGTCGTATCGGAGCACTTGTTGGACGACCCGATGAACGATTACCGTGCCCAAAGAATGTGCTTAAATCAAGGTGATCGACATTGGATGGTTGATAGGCGGAATCCAACTGTTCATCTCGTGTTCGAGCCATTGAGGTAGACCGACGACGACGTTGTTGTTGTTGTCGTCGTTGTTGTGCTGATGCCGGTGGTGGTAGAACTGTTTGAATATAATTAGAATGAGGTAGTTTCTGTAGATAGGGTGATATAATTTGTTTGGGAGTAGCCGATGAAGCACGTGGTGGTACACCACCGTACGGATCAGTATTTTGACGATGAATTGCATCTCTGCAAAGGCAAATTCAATATAATTTTTTTCCAAATTTTCTACTCTTACTTGGAGTGCAGTTTTTGAGGAGGTGTCATTTCATTGAGATAATCTCTACAGATGATATCATCATTGGTCGTGCCATAGTATTGATCTCGCTCATCAATGGTGAGCGAATGTTGCACTGAATGTGAAGTTGTTCTAACAGAGACAGACGTTGCCATATTGACAATTCTTCCGAATGTTTTTTATTTCAGCTGAATGACAAAGTAGGCATAGTGAAAATTTTAGTTATGACATTTCCTCCATCATTGTTCACCTAGCGACTTATGATGTGTATATATATATGTTACGTCTACCAACCAAAGCGACCTCTATTCAATAAAAAGAAATCGCTATCTCGCTCGTCTGTTGAATATTAATTGCACGTTACTACAGTGATAAAAGGAAGACTTGAAATGCAGTCGTTTCCTTGGCATTTGTAATTGATATTTTCAATAGATTTATAATTTATTAAAATAACAACATCAAACAGTAGAAACGAGAGAGTGAGAGAGAGAAAGAAGATTTGGAAAAGGATTATTTATAAATGAATGAATATACTAGGCACTGCCTGTTTTGATTGATTTGATCAATAATTGAGTATTATTTGATTTGATCGCTGCACGACATTGATTCACAGTAGTTGTTTTAAACTTTCCAACTGAAACACGCAAATCATTTTCATCATGAAAACTCTCGAATAAGCTCTTCCTACTTCGCAAATTGCCTGCCTTTTGTACCATTTGATTCAGATATCGTAAGTTCTTCATTAGTTCCTCGTGATTTGTACAGCGAATCTTGTACCCATTGATTAAATCGCGATTCAAGTTCAATAAATCGATATAATGTCGCTTCATAACCGATCTATAAGATATCGACTCAGCTAATCGTTTTCTTTCAATTCGCTTCACTTACACGTCACCAATTAGCCGTGCGTCTTCAGCACGAATTAAAAAACTTCGAATAATATTCGCATGTTCAGCCATATCCGACGAAATTCGTTGTCGAGCCGTTTGATACTCTTCAATCTAACAAACTCATGTCGTACATCCTCAAGTTTTAACAATATCGAAACGACCCTACTTGAGAAAAGATTTTCTGCAGCATGTCAAGTTCTTGCGGAAAGTCGCATGTTGTTTGTAATGTATCTATATTTAAAAATTTGCCTAATGACTGAATAATATTTCCAGCCAATTCCATATCATCAGTTTGAATCAACATCTGATAAGAATCACACTCAGAATTGAATTAGCTTGTGACAAAGAAGTTACCTGTCCGGTGTTCTGCATTTTAATAACTAACTTTGTGTCTGTTCGAACGGCCAGAAATGTAACGTACAAGCTTGGTGTATTGGGTGCATATTCTTCCGAAAGGAGGAAATGATGATTGATCCAAACGAGAATCTTGAATTTGTTGGAAAGAAGAAATTTTGAATAGCAGAGAATCGATTAATCACTCACTCGTGGAATACGTTCATTGATCGTGAAATTAACGAAACCTTTAGGCTCATGATCAGTTGAGTTTTCAACCAATAGATACATTGAGAAAATTGGTAATGGCCGAGCCAATTCAAAAACATGGTAGAGAGTACTAAAACACAGGAATGAAGTCTCTCTTCTTCATGAATGAAATGTAATGTCAAACCTTGATTTCAATCCAACAAAAACTTGAAGATGTAAGTCGACCGACGCATCACGAGGCGGTATGATTGGTACAACAATATTTTCTCGAACTTGATTCGCAGCCGGATGGCTAAATTATCTCAGAAAAAGCGTTTTTTCTTCTGACAGCATCTTCATCAAGAAATATTTACACGACAAAACATTCGCCTTTGAATAAACCTTCAGCAAAAAGTGTAACAACTCTTATAACGGTGTCTAAACAAGAAGAATATGCATGGGAATTTCTCGGAATTCATTTCCCTACGATTGGATGTTTTCATTTTTATTGCAATATGTGCCTAAAAGAAATCATCTCGATCATATTTTCAATGAAACAAACGTTATTTACTGGAAAATCACTTCGACTTCTCTCGACTGTTAATATTGTTTGTATTTCTGTATTTGCCTATGTTTAAAAGATGAAATGAGTAACAATTAAACATTAATTGACTTACCGGAATATCAGCTTCGGAATCTAATGTCACTGCTCGGCTGTTAGCACTACTTGAATCTTTTGCTTTTTTTGCGGCCTCTTCGAGAGTTTGAAGTTCCAGTAAGAGTGCCTATAGACGATTGGATATTCTTGCTTGTTGATTTTCTACATATGCTCTCTCACCTGTTTCTTCTGAGCTAGATCTCGAATTGCTTCTTGTCGATCTTTGTATAGATTAGCTGCAGCTGCATTACTGTCCTGTGCCGAGAATTTAAATCCTCGAACTTCACCTTCATTCGAACAACAGATCAATAAATTTTCTCCCGGTACTCGGTAATCTGCCTAATCACAAAATCAACCCAACAAATCACATTCTATCCTAACTTCATCTTACTTTGACAATTCCAGCTACCGATGAATGCAGACTATCCTTGAAAATGACATCTCCATTACGATCACTTCGAATATCAACCTATGGATGAACATTACTTATTCACGAACATTCAATCAATCAAATTACTTTGCCACTACTCCATCCAGTGACTAATTCATCGACGCCATCACCATCAACATCGAATGCTTGTAGCACAACCGCAGAATTTCGTGATTTAATACGCCAATTTCGATTCGTTCGTTCATAAATGCCAACAGTCCCATTTCCTAATGCATATCCAAATCGTGCGCCAATTAATGGGCATATCGACACAATTGTTTCTGTTTCTTGCATATCTGCTATCAATTGATCTTCTCGAAACACTCGAATATCATAATCCTCTGAGCCGACAACAAGCTATTCACGAATTCGAAAAAAGCATCGCATAAAATATGAAGCAAAAGCCTAATAACATTACTTCATTATAACCATCACCATTGAAATCAAGTAACGCCAGTGATGAAACATTATCGCCCGTAACTGTCCATAAAACATCCTCACTTTTTTTATTAAAACCATGAATTGAACAATTTCCACCTACAATCGCTAATTGTTCGGGTAATTCGCCCCATTTACCGATAGTTATGGCGTTTGCACCATCTGGAGTCTGAAGCAAAAACAAACATCATTACAAAGGAAATGAATCGACAGTGCGAACTTCTTTAAAGAATAAATCGACATTACGATCGATATCATATGCAGTTATGTTACTGCTTGTTCCAACAACGAGCAAATCTTTTTTCAATTGATCGTCCAGTTGACCGCATGCTAAACTTGTAACAACTTGATTTACATTTAAAAGTGAAACATTGCCTTCCAGTTGTTGTGCTTGAGGATTATTGTCTTGTGGGGAATGAATAAAAACCTGTGCAAAAATCGTTTTTTGGCACAAGAAAATTATGTCAGTTTTCTACTTTGTTTCCGGCAGTTGCACCAACGAGGCATGACGTTTTGCCGTTGAATTTACCCACGGCAACCGTTCGAGGGAAAACTTTATGATTTAATTGTAAAGAAAAAACCGGTACTAACATTTTCGATGTTAGTTGAACCTGTTCGAAATGAATTCTTCAAAAATAAACCATCGAGGATCACTTTTCTATGCCTATACCTCCATCAAGGTAATTTAACAGCGCGTCATTTGAGAGATGTAAGCGAATGAAAAAATGAGTGAGAAAAGAAATGAATGAATCAGATTAGACGCACGCTCGGGCGATGATGAATCACACAAATATTTATAAACGGCATATGAGTTACAAAGGTATAGACAAACAGAACAATATATCATCGTTGGTATCGTTCTATGCAAGCTAGGTATATTTTTTTCTTTCATAATATTGATTTTAGTCGATTTACTTTAGTGAAGTAGTCTTGGATTTCTACTAAAAGGATTCAGCATAAAATATACGAGATTAGCCTCGTTGATGTTTAAGAATGTTAAAATATGAGGCATGTGCTTTGCCTTCCTTTCTTTCTCTCTCTCTTGTCCGTTCCTCTTAATCTTTACATACGTTTTATTAAACGATGATATTTCGCGTTTTATAACCATCAGTCATGACTATTTCTTTAACAAAACGATGCTATATTGTTTTTCTTTTCGGGGCCTGACATTGTCGCGTCTGCGAATTGAACGTCGAGGACTAACATGGTTGACGCCGTTGTTGTTATACAATCATACTTTTCTTTATACATAACAGAAGAATATGATATGTATAGTGAGCGGACGAACGAACGAATGAACATGATCCGCTTATGGGCGTGTGTACTAAGTAAAAGACAGAGAGTATGGGCGGTGAATAGGGAGGAGTTAAACGGGAACAATCGCCAATTCTTTTCTCTTTCTCTCTCTTTTTCATTCTCTTGCGCGCTTTTTTTTCATTATGTTCACTAGCTCGTACACATACACCTTGTCTTTACTTAGTCAAACAACAATAGAGATTGATGATCATCATCAACTATCTGGACATTTGATCATATACATGTAAAAAGAGATCTCCTGGTCATTAGAATAATGATATAAAAGGTCTTTCTCACGCATTGCAATAAGTAAAAACATGTATCATTACAAACAACAATTCAAAGTTAATTGTGAGTAATAAAATACAGAAAAAAATATGTCTCATTTTTCGTTCTGACAAACATGAAACATTCGATTTTTGATAGTTTGTCATTTTCCTCCTTGTTTGTCTGTGGTAAAAACGTGAGTTCGTCATGTTAGATCCCTTCTGATGCTTCAGTCAACAGAACACCTGTTAGTGATTGTTTCGCATATCGACATCGTTTCGAAAATATAGTTGTTTTCGTGTTCTGCTTCGCTGATAATGTTCTATCTTGTTTTTCATCATGAAAGTCATCTGTTCACCTGCCCACACATATCACTTGTAGAGTTTTATGAGTGAGATGAGTCAGAGTTATCGAACAACTGTTGTTCGATAGAAATTAGTCATAAAATCTTCTTTCGTCTTCTCTTCAATAGATCAAATGGCGGCTCCGCCAAGTGTTCCAACACCGCCGAAATCTCGTGGCCTAAGTCTGTTCGATCGTCAAGCACAATTACACGCGTATGATACTGATAAATCGTCGTCGTCGAGTTCGACAACAAATCTGTTCGACAAACCTACATTCTCATCGAAACCGATCACATCTGCGCCTATCATCTATCGTGGTACACAACAAAATCAATATTCCCCATTACTTGCCCATCATCGATCACCATTATCAACTTCCGAATGTCATTCCAATTCAAATAATAATAATAATGTACAATTAATCGGCATACATCCTCGTCCGGAATCTACTTATATCAAAGAATGGCCATCACCACCACCGCTACCGGCAAAAAGAAGCGAGCAATTACTGGAAACGGATTTTCCGATGATAGAGAACTTTCAAGCACAAGAGTCAGCAACATCTGGAAGTAGTTTCGCACCAAGTGATTCATTATGCTGTGCAATGATTGAACAAGCATTTGATTATTTGCGAACACATGACGATAACGACGATGTTGTTTATAAAAAGCCCTCTATCAGTCATATCGATGGTTCTGACAACGAAGAGAACTCGGAAGGCAATGACAGTGTCGATACCATTGATCTCGATGCCACAACAAGTACGAATCATCAAACTGATAGTAAGTTTGATTCCCTTGTTCTTGTAGAGAAGAAGGAAAAAAACATTCGTTTACTCAAAATAATTAAATCTTTGCATGAGAACTTTTCTGTCTTTTGTTCTATTCCCTCTATCATTCAAGTATATATAGAATATTAAACATCATTTAGGTATGTGTGTGTATGTATATATAAGCATTCTTAATGGTCTCACAAGCGTGCAACTTCTCCATTCTTTTCTCGTTTTGTTTGTCCTCGGTTTTCTCTCTCTCTCGTTTCTATATCATTGAAGCAAGTGCACGTTCAAACTTCCTCATTTTCTCTCTTTTTTTCCCCTTCTTATTCAAAACATCAAACAAAGAAACAAGTAGTTAACAAAGATTATTCTCTAACTAGAAGTAAGCTCGATGAATTTGCCTTTGAAAATCTTGTCCTTGTCTATGTAAACATATTTCAGTCGAAAATGTTCCTTCTTAAGTGCCAGACAACTTTTGCTATCGTCAAGGCTTTTCGTTTTGTTTTAAAGAATTTTCTCTCGATGTAAATCGATTTCGTGAGTTGATAATGATCGTATTAGTTTGCCAGTGATATTTTCTCTTGTTTCGATCGAACTAAACCGATAGACACGCGCATGAGAGAGAAGAAATCAGATAAACTTAACATAGATAAAGTTCAGTACAATTACTCGGCAATAATAATGAACGAAGTTAACCTTGAGAATACATTTAAATTTTCTCGTTCTAGGTGGGATTCACACATCATCATCATCCCAAGTAACTATTGACAAACGTCATGACAGTCAAGAGAAACTAACCGATCAACAGTCACCAATGGCGTCGTCATCACGTGGTACCGGAAGCGAAGATAACGATAGTGATTTTGATAATCAATCTCATGAAGATGATCTTGAAAACGAAGAAGAACAAGTCATACCGAAGAAAGCCCCCGAAGAGCTGATCAATGAACAAGAAGAATTGCAAAAGCAATTAATTGTAAGCATGAGAGATACTTTCGTCAGCATCGTTCCCTTTGGTGTAAAATTAGATTCGACAACAAAAAATTCTTTGGAGTATCGCACAAGAATGGTTAAGAAAAGAGAAGAGTTATATCGAACAATTAGAACAACTCGATCATCAAGTAAATGAACAAGCAATTGTCTTAATCTTATTCAAATATTTCTCTCTCATTCAGCTCAATCATATTTCTCTCGCAATAACTTTACAAGAAATGATTCAGCAGTTAACAGCACATCATAAAAATGTTTGTAAAGAAATCGAATTCTTGTATGAACGTGATCATCAACCAGCAAACCTAACCAGACAATTAACACGTGCAATCGATGCTTTGGTAGATTATCATTGTTTCTCTCAAATCTTCTGCATAGTTCACGTTTTAGGTGCAAACGTTAAGTCTCTACGATGATTATATCAAGAAGAACTTAGCACCGATCAGAAAAGCATTAGATAAACGACTTACCAACGGCATGTCTAGTGAAGGTAGATCGAACTATTGTCAAGTACGATGATTGAAGACATAATCTTCGGAATTTTAGAACTTCTATCCATTCCACCCAAGCAATTCCTTCAGATTCTTTCGCAAGTGCAAGTAAGAAAACGAAAATCGATGTTCGAACTATTAATGGATCGTCTCATATAGGATTTGTATAAAACAGCTCTTTCATTTGGATCAGACGATGCAGCCAGTCTCAAGAAGTTGCACGACTACGCACAGCAATGTAAAATCTATGGAGTACGTCGAAACTAACGGATCCATTGACAATTTCTCATCTGTATTCTGCGAATTTTTAGAATATCCAAGATGAAAATATCAATAAGATTGTTCTGAAAAATGAAGATGTGGCGACATTTACACGAGGCTCTCCTGATCGTTGTCGTCTTGTTCTGTACCCTGATGCAATTGTTTGTTGTTATTTGAAAAGCAAACTACTTGTCAGGTAGGCATTTGGCAGTTTGACATGACTGAGTGCAATAGGCAACAAGAACTAATGCTAAACAATTGAAACGTTTGTTGCCTGGAAAAGAAATTTAGTTTCAAATTACAAGAGGAAACAATTATCTAGCCCATTAAAAGTTAAGAACACATGAAAAGACACGTTCAATATTCTTCGTTGTTGAAGATATTCAAGTGATGAATAGATTTCTTCGACAATTTGATGAGGATTTCCACAAATAGAAAGTTGAACTAGATGAGCAATCCATCACGGCGGATGTCATTTTCTTTTCTAGTCCGAAATACGCTCTTCTTTCATTCATACCCATGATCAATCTTCATTGGACAGTACCGCAAACTTCATCCGAAGATAACAAAAAAACCGGTGGTGAGTATCCACTTATCGCAAGAGACATGTCGAAGTTTGTCTGCAATGGAATTGTAGATGAATTAAAATTAAATTTAAAATCATCTTACAAAGAATTAGAAAAGGCACCGAAATCCAATGTAAGTTTTTTCCGAGCTGGTATTTGAGTTTGACTAATTGTGCATTAATAGAATGTCGCTGCATCTCGTCTATCCAAAGCAATACGCAAACAGGAAATCGAATACAATTTAGCGCAATCAAAACTTCAATTAGTCCTCTCGAATTCGGCTGCAGCAGCAGCAGCAACATCTCGTTCATCCATATCTTTCACAATTCTTTTCTCGTCAGCTTATCAACTTCAAGATTGGGTTGATCTAATCGAGAAAACTAAACAAGAACTTGTTCAACGAAGTTCTGACAGCTCAAAAACCATCACTACAAACCATCAACGTCTGACTGATTCTCTCATTCAAAAGCGTCTTGATCTAATCAAACCAAACGTTCAAGATTTCAATTCTTACGAGTCATCTTCTGTTCCCAAACCAAGCAAAACGTATTCGGGTACATTACATATAACTATTCATAGTATTCATGGAACAGCATTATATAATCCTGCACGACAACAGTCAACGCTGCCGCTGTTGACAAATCCAACAGATAACAATTATCAATTTTATGTTGCGGTTGAAATCGATTCGTACAATACTTTCTTTCCATACGCTCAAACAGCAAGGCGATCGATGCAACAGCAAGAATCTGTGGAATTCAAAGGAGAAGTAGGTTGAATTGTTGTGCTTCGCATGTTCGACAGAATCCATCACGAAACGTTTCTTTTGATGTTTACTGATTATAAGAGATTCTATTCCGTAGAAATGTCAACCACACTTTTATTATTCAATTCGGTGGCCGAAAACGGTATCTAATTCTCCTCTCATCCGACATTTGCGCATGACTTTTTCTTTTGACTAGAAGATGAACATCTGTCATTGCAATTGATTCTCTAATCTTTCCTTTCAGGTTTTTCAAGTGGAATTGGAATATTCTTTAGCATTTCGTTTACTCATCTATCGAATAGATGCAGGTAACTCAGGTAATCAAACAAACATTTCTCAACGTGCTCAGTGTATTGGTAAATTCCATCGAAATGTATGTTGTTCAAATGCTACTCTTCTCCTCCTCCTCACGGAAGAAACTTTTCGTATCGAATAGATTGAAACGGCTCTATACGATTGTCATCGTAGTGCTAATGGTGTTTTAACAATCGAGTCTCCATCAGGTGATTTAAAACTGAAAATATCATTGAAATATTCCAAACGGGAAGGAACATTCAAACGGCAAGGATCAAAACGTAGTCTGGCTGTGTTCGGAAAAAGTATCGACATATTATTAAGTACACCGAATGGCTGGTACGTTCGAAATTGATTCATTTCTCAAACGAATCTTTCTTGATGATTTGTAGTGTCGATGGTATTCCTCGTTTGATTGTGAAATGCATAGAGATGGTTGATCGAGATGGTCTCAAAGAAACAGGTATTTATCGTGTCTGCTGTGTGACATCTGATTTACAAAAGCTTCGTCATCAATTCGACCGACATTATCATCGCGGCGAAGAATTGTTAGCTGAAAAGAATGTTCACGTTGCAGCAAATCTACTGAAACTGTTCTTTCGCGAACTACCGGAACCTTTGTTCACCAGTGCGCTTTACGCTCAATTCGTCCATGCGATACAATTGAAAGATATGGACAATCAACGTGTAACATTGCTGAGAACATTAGAATTATTACCCGCAGCAAATCGAAAAATCCTCTTTCATCTGTTGGACCATTTGATACGTGTGAGTGAATATTCGGATGTCAACATGATGCACTTGGATAACTTAGCGGTCGTGTTCGGACCGACTTTGATGCGGCCATCGAAGTTGGTTATGACAAATTGTTTCTCCAGTAGTAATCAACGTTTGAATATGGCGGGAAACAGTGGTCAAACTGATTTGGATCAAATGTCAGCTGAACTGCAAGGTTCCATGCATCAATGTGAAGTCGTTTTGGCCTGTTTAAAGTTAAGACGAGATAATCTATTGAAATGAGTGATCTGAAAAAACAAACTAATACAGTGAACGAATGATTGAATCTGTCGAAAAGCTTTGCCGTATTTTTGTTTTGTTCAATTTGGCTTTGTTCTCTTGTCTCATTCGTATCCAGCAGTGGCACTCACTTCTCCTTTTTCTTCTCTTGTTCTTCTATCATTTTATCGTTTTTTTTCTATTCGAATAAAAAAAAGAAGATATTGATATTTGTACATGAACATCTGTATTCTACTGCAAACAAGAAAAGCCAATTTGGATGTCATTCGCTTTCGTTGATAAAGGTCATTATTCCTACAAACATTCATGTGAATTATTTCTCTCCTTTTTTTCACTTCTGATATGTTAATCATGCAACAGAAAGAATTTACTAGAAAAACTTTTCCGTTCTGTTGGGCAATTTATATATACGATAGTCATTGTTGCTCCTTCAAGGAACACAAAAAGAAATACAATCGTCTGCTGTGTTTATCCCTATTTTTCTTTTCGTTCTCTACGTTTTACTAGGCGTTAGAAGCCGGCAGACGAACGGAGAATTTCTTTTTTTTTCTTTCTTTCTGTCGCGATACAAGAGATGCGAGAAAGAAAAAAAAGAGAAAAATATGCTTATGCCATTGTAAAATCTTAATAAACAGACGGAATAGACGTGCCACAACCGTTAGAAGAACGAAGGAAAAAAATCCCATGTACTACGAAGATGATTCGTTGTTGTGCTTGAGTCATAATCATTCAACTTGAGCGTCGATAAATATATTGACATGAATTGTATATAACGATTATATTTTAGACAAATAGAACAAGAAATCATGTCTCATCACATAAAGACAGGTCATCTACGTTATTTTCACAGTAAGTTTCGATTGAGCGAAAGTATTTGTTGAATGTCCTTTGTTTGTTTACTTAGAGGGTTTGCTCTCGAAAAAGTGGAAAGATTATTACTTCGTACTTTTTGACGATTCAACCTTGCAATGGTTTGAGAAGCAAACTGATCGCAAACCCGAAGGAGGAATACGCATTCGTGATATAGCACAAAATCTTTGCGTCGGACCTTATACACGATGTTTACCGAATCGACCGCCGTTTCCTCGACCAACCGATGAAGCTAATTTGATTGCATTGCCGCGTTCGACACCTGGACATCACGATCAGGAAATAGTCTGGATTCTTTGTAACGATGTTACGCATCTCAAGTAATTCGGATGAATTCTGTTATATATATATATATATATGAGAGTTTTATTTCTTTTTTTTCCTAACGATTCTTAGTGATTGGATGAAAGCAATCGTTTCTACATTGCCACCACCACCACAACCACCAATGCCACCGCCGTCGCAACAACAGGGAGATAATATTCGACCATCAGCACCACCAGCATCAGGTCCTCCCCCACGTATGTCTTTTACACTATCTTTTCTTTTCTCTTGGCTATCGAAGACTATCGATTGATTTTAGCATATTCTGCGTCGGGTTCTTATCCTCGTCCACAACAACAGTCGATGTATCCCAATCTACCAGGTAATCAATCACAACAACCACAATACCGTGCACCATACGGTGGCTCAGGGGCATCAAGTAGTCAACAGCCTGGTTACAATCATACAACAGTCGTCGTACAACCATCACCAACTTATGCTGGTTCAGGAGGCGGTTACGGTGGATATCGGGGAGGTGGCGGAAGTTCATTAGCTGGTGTTGGACTTGGTTTAGCTGGTGGAGCATTACTTGGTGGTATAAAAATTACGAAAAAGATTTTTGGTCGAGTTAAGAAGTTTGGTTTTGTTCTTAGGCGCCCTTGGATATGCTTGGGGTGGCGGATTCGGGGGCCATGGAGGCTGGGGCTATGGTATGGGACCATCTGGATATTATGGTGGTGGCTATGGGTAATATCTAAATCATTGTTTTGTCGTAATAAGTCAGAAGTAATCTTGATTCTTTTCGGAAATATTTAGTGGCTGGGGTGGTGGTAACGACACGACCATTATAAATAATTAGTACGTATAAGATTCTTTATAGCTTATTCAATTTGCTTTTTTTATTCTACAGCTATGATAATGATACTACCAACAACTACAATAACGATACAACAAACAATGATTATACAAATTATAACGACAACGATTATCAACAGTCGAACAGTTTTGACTATGATACAAATAATGGTCAGAATGACAACGACTATGGAGCTGGATCGGATAGTTACGGTGGTGGCGGAGGTAATCGAAATAGTTAAACAGGAAAGTTTATTTCATTTTTCATCTGTAGATTACGGCGGGGGTGATGATTTTGGCGGAGGCGATTATGGAGGCGATAATGATTATGGCGGTGGAGATTTTGGCGGCGGAGATTTTGGTGGCGGAGATTTTGGTGGTGGTGGTGACTTCGGTGGTAAGTCGACGTTTTCTTGATATCCGTTCTATTGATTTGTATTTAGGAGGCGGCGATTGGTGAAAAGTCGAAATCCTTGTGAATCAAACCTATCGTCTATTGCTTTCTGTCAAGTATTCATGTATATATATAGTATCGATTTAAAACAAATTCAATCTTATTCCGTGGACTATAACTAAACACGCCTTTTCTCTTCTTCTTCTTTATTTTTAATGATTGTATACTATTTTAAAATATCGTTTGGTTTTATCTCATATGAACAGTATATCTTTTGCAAAAGAATATATTTGGAAAGTATTGGTCTATAATCTTATTATTTCGTGGATTCTAAGTTGGGATGAAAGTATGATTGGTTGCAGCATTTGAGTTGTCATTTTGAGAACAGGCATGACACTCGATTATCTCCATGTTTTGTCGGTTGAACACCTGACAAGGAAAAATGTGTCATGTCAACATCGAACGAGAATTTATTTTCTCGTTCTCACGAGTAATAATATCGTTTTGTTAGACTAATAACGAACGGAATACCTTCTCAAAAACGTCAAGAGAACAACAGCACTAGACATGCTGTTTATAACATGATAACAGTTCAGTTTTCACTTTCATATACAGAAAAACTGTTTTATGCCGAGGGTGGACGCAAAATATTGAATAGGTTCATAAGTACATTCCGGGTATTCGACAGATGGCGTTGGTTCTCATCCAGTATTTTTATCTTCTCTACTCAAATAAATCTCATTGGTGTATGGATAAATGATGAGGTTACCTTCTTCCAATTGGCATCACATTTTTCATCCACAATCTTTTATTATTCACTCTCCACCGAAAATCACTATCCAGCTGCCAAACTCGTTCTTCTATGGCATCAACCACGACTGACGATTCGACCGCAGCACCTTCAAGCTTTGAAAAGCGTCTTACACTCGTGAATGGTACTCAAGAAAGTGTGCAAACTCTATCCTTATGGATTCTATATCATCGCTCTCAACATGAACATTTGATCAAGACGTGGTTCAAAGTTTTGAAGAAATCCAAACCATCACATCGATTAACATTGTTCTATGTTGCGAATGATGTTGTTCAGAATGCGAAAAGACACAATGCATTGGTTTATCATCAGGCATTTAAACCGTATTTAGGTTCTGCGATGGCTTATGTGAAAGAAAATGCGATTAAAAAGAAAATTCAACGAATTTTGGAGATTTGGCGCGATCGGGGGGTTTACGATGAAGATTTTATCAATGAACTTTTGAAGAAACTTCTTGGAACAGAGGTTTACGAAAAAGACAAAGAAGTAACGCGAGTTATTTCTGAATTTCAAGTAAATATCGACATTTTCATTTGTTGTTTTGACGTTATCTTCTTTTCTAGCCCAAAGTTTTATGTGAATCGTTGATTCGTTTCAAACAACTCGAGGGTGAAACACTCGTAAAAGAACAGCTAATTACCAATGATTTGAAGCTGATCGACAGCATGTCGATTGAGAGTGTTCGAAAGTTAAAAGGTAAAACAAACGATGTTCTCATAGGAAAAGTCAATTCTTTGCTTGATTCAGATAAAACAACAACAGATGCATTTCATGGAGAATATGAAAACAGTCGAGAGAAGTTCCAAGACTATATTCAATACTATGAACGGCTTTTGAAGGAACGAAAATTGTTGAAACAGTTCTGCGAACAAGCGGAGGTTTTTTATGATGCGCAGTATCAAGATGCGAACATTGTTGTTGAAGTTTGTGAAATCGCCAAGAAAAATTCTTTTTAAGAGCTTGATGAATTGTAGGCGTACAAGAATTTCGGTGACAAAGTAGCGACGTTGAAGAAAAAGTTGGATAGTTTAATTCGAGATCTACCAGACACAGTAACATCGCCTTCCGGAGATAACATCCCATCGCCTGGTGAGTATTTCGTATTTCAAATGAGAAATTGACGTTCATAGTATCTTTTAGGTAATACTCCACCGGATTATCGGCAAACTGATATGGACTTATCTGACAATGAAGATAATAGTTGTGAGTTTGTGTAGATTTCGTTGAATTCATTTGCTAAAATATGTTCATTTGCAGCTAAGTCTCCATCCGATCGACCATCAAGTAAGTTTCATAAACCGTTCGTTCAATCATCATCATTATTATCTTTTCTTTTAAAGTTGTTCGGACGACGCGTGTAGATCCTCGTCATCACCGAAAGCATACTTCTCATCGTCACCAATCCTCTCAACAACAATTCGATGACGCAGATGAAAGATCGCATAAATCCAATTCAATTTCCTCTCCGATAGTCAACGGAGAAAGCAAACCGACATCACAGGTATGAACTAGCTCTGAACACTTCTACTATTCGAAGTGACTTCGACCTCATTTAGCCAACCCCAATGATTGACGTGAATCTAATTACCGATTTACTTATTCAACATTCACAATCCACTGGTTTCGAAAAAAGTCTAGAAATGCTTACCCAAACTCTCCGACAACTTACCGATTCAAATCCTGCTGCACTTCCGACACCAACATCAACAGCTACATCTTCTCAACTAATTCAGTCGAATCCATTCGAAAATCTTCTTATGAAACGTTTACAACCAGCTGTTCCGCAGCCTGTTCTGGCTCCGCCTGTTGTTCCACAAATTTGGTTCAATCCAAACACACCCCAAGCAACCTATCCTGCAGCAGCAGTTCCACCGTTCTTTCCTCCATCTAATCCGTCAATGGATTTTCACTCTCAGCAACAATATCCAAATCAACGAAATTAAAATAGACAATCTTCTATTTGCTCTCTCCTTGTATTTTCTGTTTTTTTTCTATGCATACATAGATATGTATATATGTCAAATAAAAGAACGATTGAAATATACACCAGTCATCATTATAGCGACGAAAGAACAAGTTCACCTTGATCGAATATGGAAATCGCGGCAAATCCTGCAGATACTTACTCATTCTTTATTTAAAACAAAATCATCTATTAATAGTCTCGCAAGAGTACGTTGTAATGAGTAATGCAAAACGATGAGATTGTTGCTTTTTACGCGTGTGTGTCTCCTGTTTGCTAGGTATTAAATATTAATAACTGAAAATTACGTATCACAGAAAGAGAGAATGCAAGTCTAATCTATTTTTAGGAGATTTTATCGATGTAAATTATGTTTACTACCAGTTGAAGACGTAACTGAGCGCGAGAACATGCTATAATTCTCTATAGTTACTGGATGAATCATCAGCAAAAGAAATAATGGCATATTTATGAAGGCGATTCTTCTTTCAACTATTTCAATGTTTACTGTGCTGGGAAACTGACATGTGCTTGATTAGTTAACTAAGTCACGCATTTCATTAAAATCGAAGCTATGGTTTTTTTTTCTCGTTTGTATTCTTGATATGTTGACGATATGACATTTCGTTATGTCGCTTGACTCAATTTAAGCTGAAATCACAGAAATTTACTTCGCAGAGGCATTGAGCTGCGTCTAGCATATTATTCGGACTTCATCAAGTTAATCTGTCTTCGAGAGAGAATATTTGTGAAACACGATCTGAAAGAGAGTGTTGAAGTGTGTAGGGGCAGAAACTTGGGCCCCCCTCCCCCACAGACGTTGGGGAAACACAATCACAGACGTTACAGACACTGGGAAAACACAATCACGGACAGGCCCAAAAACCGGTCAAATACCCTTATAGACAAGTCCAAAGCTACTATTACAGGCAGGTTCGTTCTCATCTTCGTTACGTCGGCACGTGTAGTTCGCTTCACAGATCGAGATCGGTTAATGGAAGCACAATAAGAAGGATCACATATGATGACCGATGAAGCAAAAATTTCTTAAAAAGCAACAGACATCGCTATTGATAATGATACGTTGCTTCCAACAGCTTAAGTTTAGATAAATAGGAATGCAGACTGATAAATAAATTGAGCATTCTATGTGTTCAACGTTTGTCCGGCTGGACCGTGTTTCACATTTTTAATCCCGCAAAGGATTGCGTTGAAACCTTTATTCTTTAGCGTGCGAATAGCATTGCATGTTCATGAATAACTGCAAATGGGTTTGATTAGTGTAGAGAAAGCTTCGCTTGTCTATAGTTTGGTTTCCAATAAAGGAAGGAGAGAAAGAGAGAGAATTTTTAACCTCTTGTCGGTATTCTATCATGAAAACTTCATTTTTTTTTCGTACCACTATCAGGGTACGTGTATTGTATTAAAAAAGAGAAAGAGAAAGAAAAAAAGACGGGAGAAGATATTAAGTTACAACACCTACCAAATATTTGCTCTCATCTTCTGTTGTCGCTTCGTATATAATACCGTAAAATTTTGATAAAGCAAAAGAATGGAGTAGAGCATACAAAACAAAAAAAACTGCAGAGCAATGACTCAATCATCAGGAAGAATGTCTATGCAACGATGTTTTATTTATTTTTTATCAATCGGAGGAAGTTGTCTGTTTATCATCTTCATTCTATTTCGTTTCACTTCCCCGACAATTTCATTTCCTATAGCGATCAGTATTGGTTACCGTCGGCGACCTGAGTGTTTATGTTTGCGACCTGAATTAACACCGAATTTCACAAATAACACCTCTCCATCATATCTATGCAGCACGTATGCCGCTCAACGAGGAACAAATCAACGTATTATTTCTATTAGCCTTTTTGGACCAAAGGAGAATCGAATGTTTCAACTGAACAGATCATTGACATTTCTGAACGAATTGATAAATGATATGAACGTGGTTTATTCCGATGGGTTTGTGTTACGCGTTCATCATGACGATACAATCGGTTTTCGAGATGTCATCTGCCCGTTCGAATGTCAACATCCAAACGTGGACTTTTGCAGTATGAGTTCAAAATTGTATATTCCACCGAAAATCTGGCGATTCATTCCTGCCGGTGATCCACTTGTAGATATCAGTAAGGAAGTTACTTACAGAGTGAGACGATTTTTGACATTTTCCTTTCTTTGAAAGTGATGAGCCGCGATTTGGATTCAGCGTTAACACCACGAGAACGTTCATCTGTTGATGCGTGGCTCGCGTCAAATAAATCTTTTCACGCTATGCGTGATCAT